GCCCCTTTAGGCCCTGCAAGGGGCTCCAAGGTCTCCCTGGATCCTTCTCTTCTCCAGGTGAACACTCCCAGCTCTCCCAGCCTGTCACATAATCAGCTTATCTGTTCAACCTCAGTGGCTTCTTCACCTGGCAATTCCTAATTCATCAAATATAAACCTTTCTCTGACTGAGCACAGGCAGAGGCCCTCAGTGGGTTCCATCCATGGCCACGACAGTGCAGGAAGAGCAAAGATCCCTCCATGGAAACCCCCATCTCCAGGCCCACCTTCCTGCTGGGACACAGCAAGTCTCTGCATTCTGCACCAGGAACACCAACTGCCCAGGGATCAGACACTCTGATGGGCACCAGGTTCACTGCTTTCACTGAACTCCAATCCACAGAATCACCAGCAGCTTCTCATTCAACATCTGACCTTCTGGGAGCTCATTTACACAAACAGCTTCATTACTCAAATTAGCAGCACAAATTGCACTGAAAAGGATTCTGTGCAAACCCCAGAATTCACACACAGTCTTACAACATCCCAACAAAAACCACCTTCTGACAAAATCTTCATGCAAAAGTAGGACCAATTTCCATTTCTAACCACAGAACTCAGTGTGAGACTCAGATTTAGCAGAACAAACACCACTGGGATGCAGCGAGTGGCTGCCAGCAAACAGCCCCTCATCCCACTGCTCTGCTCCCAAGGACATTTGGAATAATGTGGTGCCCTTAAATTGGTTTGGTTTAAGGTCTGGCCGGATCCAGAGCAGGGCAGTAAATGGATTAAACCCTGACTGACTATTCATCAGATTTTAGAGAGGCCAACCCTGAGTTTATTTCTAATGACAAGGGCTCAGCACCATCCCAGGGCTCAGGGATGACAGATCCTTCCCCTACGGATCTTTTCCTGCTCTTTTCTCTCATCTTTCCTGCAGAATGCAAAGACAACTTGATTATTTTTGCATTTCTGAGGCACAGAAACTGAGCACGTGCAGTTTTCCCATGAAATATGCTCATAATTAACACACAAACCATCTCTCCACGAAAACAGCCCAGTGTTAGAACAAGGAAATCTCCCTGCAGTTCCAAAATCTGGATTTATTTAGCTTTACATTCCCACATTGGATCACACAATCCCATGTTGGGCCATAAAACTCAGCCCTAAACAGAGAGCAGAAACGAGGCCTTTCCCATCAGCCACGTCATGGATCCGTGTGGAATAAGTTACAGCTCCCAGAATTCCCACCAGTTTTGCCCCCACTTGGACACCAAGTGAGGAAGGGTGGGAGGGAAGGAGGTGTCAGAAACAGGGAAGTCCCCCAAAGGCTCTGCTCTGTCCTGCACAAGTGAGTAACTCCAAATGCCTGGAAAACACGTGGCATTGCTGCAGTTCTCCTTCCACTCCAGAGGGACGGGACACTCCGAAGGGGCTTTTGGAGGCCCCCGTTCCCAAGGGCTCTAAGGAAAGGCAGATTATTGCTGCTGAGGCACAGTTACCTCACAGGCCCAGCTCAAAGCCTAATTAGAGGCCTCTTAATTGATCCCCAGCTTGGAGGAGCCCAGAGCTGGTAAAGGGTAGATGAGTGCAGGAGGTGTCACACAGACCACAATTCTGCCACTCCTTTGCTCCACTGAGGGCCCAGAGAGTTATTTTATCTTAAAGGAATGAGCAGAAGGGACACAGGAGTTCTCAGTGCTAAAAACCAGGGAGTTTCTGTTTTTAAGGACTGTAAATTCTGGAAAAGCTTTTATTAACAGCAGAAAGGAGAGATTTATCAGGTATATTCCAGATATATTCCCTGTGTGTCCATCCAGCTCCAACTGATCCTTTAGGAAACAAAGGCCAGGCTTTTATCAGATCATCACAATCAACTATTTAAAATAAATGGAAAAACTAAGAACAGGAGAACACTTCCAAAACACAACATACAGACAGACACTTCCATGTGGACTCCCCATCCCTGGAAGTGTCCAAGGCCAGGCTGGACAGAGCTTGGAGCAACCCAGGCCAGTAGAAGGTGTCCCTGCCCATGGCAGAGGTGGGACTGGGTGGGCTTTAATGCCCCTTCCACACCCAAACCATCCTGGGATTGGGATTCTGTGATTTCTTGGATCAGAAAATTAATTCAGGAGTTTCACAAATTACTCTAACTCAGAATAACAATTTTCTTTCTTTAAGGACTCCTGTCCATCCTCTTGTCTCCCTCTAACAGTCAAATGCCATCTCCAACCCCCAAACCCATCTATTCCAGAAGTAAAGGCTGATGGAAAAGCAGTTTTATGCAGCTCGTATCTCAGAGATTTTGGGCTTATTACTCCAGAACTGCCCCTCTAAAGCACTCCTGGATCTGTACACAGATTTTTACTTCAACATTTACTTCTCTTAATTCAGAGTTGATTCAAAAAATGAGAGAGACAGAGAGAAAGGAATGTTAAAATGCTGCTTTATGATTTACAAAGGCAGCTTGAATAAGTTTTAGTTCAGCTTCATTAACAAAAATGTGCAAGTTCAGGTCTTGTCTCTATGACAACTCCAGAGGGAGTGGAATGATTCCCTTCCTCTCAAGAGCCTGGAAAACTGAATAATTCAGGGAGGAAGAGATCCTCAGTCAGACTATTTACAACTGTTCAGTTCTGTGATCACCTATTTAAAGGCAATGCCTGTGGAAGATTTTTGGAGAAAGGATGTCTTGTTTAAGACAAAACTTCTTTCCTTGTTTAATTCAGAGGCCAGAGAAGCTCCAAAGGGACATTTGAACTTTCACTGAGTCTTCAGCAAATAAGAAAACCAGACCAGCTCTGATGAAGATAATTAGAAAAGAAAATAAGCCTTTGATTTAAAAGCCATGTGAATCTGGGCATGCAGGTTTCCAAAGGGAAAAAATATTTCTCCTTGGACACTTCCAGGGATCCAGGGGCAGCCACAGCTTCTCTGGGCAACCTGGGCCAGGGCCTCCCCACCCTCCCAGCCAACAATTCCTTCCAATATCCCATCTAGCCCTGCCCTCTGGCAGTGGGAAGCCATTCCCCCTGTCCTGGCACTGCATCAGCAGGTCTGAGTCTGGCAGGTGGAGCAGAAACACCTCCAGTCCTGCAGGAAAAACTGGCACTGTGGAAATCCTTGTGCTGTGCCACACACAGGGATGCACATCCTCATCTGGCTGAGCTCACCAAGGAGCAGGAAAACTTGTGAGCTTTCAGTGACTCCCAGTCCAGTGGAGACACTCTCTGCCAGTCTGAGCTGCTGTAACAAATCCCATCCTGCCCAGCCTCTCCCATCACAACATTTTCAACGCTGCTCACTGTGCTCAGCAATTGTGTCAGTCCAGTCCAACAAAGCTGGAAATACTGTCATTGGAAAGGAGGGTTTGAAACTGCCAAATTTACAAATGTACAAATGCCATTTGCAAAGGCTCCCTGCTGCCAGGGCTGAACTGGGCACCACAACACTCAGCCCCAGCACTGCAGCTTTGCCTTTGGAAAGCACGGGGAAGGAGCTCAGTGACACCACAGAATCCCAGAGGCATCAGGGTTGGAAGGGACCTCCAGGATCATCCAGTGCCACCCCAGCACCACCAGGATCACCCCCAATCCATGTCCCCAAGGGCCACATCCAGACACCTCTGGGACACTCCCAGACACAGGGACTCCACCACCTCCCTGGGACACTTATTCCAAGGCCTCACCACTTCTGCAGGGAAAAGTTGTTTCTGATCTCTCATCTGAACCTGCCCTGGGGTAGTTTTAGGCCATTTCCTCTCATCCTTTCCCTTGAACACGGCAGAAGAGCCTGACCCCCCCAGGTTCCCCCCTCCTGTCAGGGGGTTGCAGAGCCAGAAGGTCCCCCCTGAGCCTCCTTTTCTCCAGGATGAGCCCCCCCAGCTCCCTCAGCCCCTCCTGCTGCTCCAGCCCCTTCCCAGCTCCGTTCCCTTCCCTGCACACGCTCCAGCCCCTCCAGGTCTCCCTTCCATGAGGGCCCAGACCTGGACACAGCCCTGGAGGTCCCTCAGCAGTGCCAGCACAGGGGACAATCCCTGCCCTGGGCTGTGCCCACACTATCCCTGATCCAAAACAGGTTTCTTTGGTCTCTTGCCCCCCTGGTCACACCCAGGCTCATGTTCATCCCCTGTCACCAGCACCCTCAGGGCCTTTTCCAGCTTTCCTGCCACCCTTTCCCCAGCCTGGACTATTCCAGGGGGTTGGTGTGACCCGAGGGCAGGACCCAGCACTTGGCCTTGTTGTCCATCCCACAGATCCAGCCTGTCCAGATCCCTCTGCAGAGCCTTCCTGCCCTCCAGCACCAACTCTGCCACCCAACTTGTGTCACCCACAAGCTGAGGGTGCCTTTGATCCCCTCATCCAGATCATCAGTAAAGACATTAGACAGGACTGGCCCCAACCCTGAGCCCTGGGGATCCCAGCTGGATTTGGGTCCATTCCCACCCCCCCCAGTCCCTGGCCCAGTCTGGCCCAGTAAATGCCACTCTGCTGGAGCTGCCCTTCTCCCACCCCATCCCATACTCACCATATCTGTGCTAACACTGGCTGAGGTAACCCAGACTGAAAAAAAAAGTTCCTGGCTTGATCACCTGGAAAATAAATAGGACATCTATAAATACCTGGCAGAGGGGAGGGGAGATCAGGAGTCAAAAATATCTGTAAGAGAAGCAACAGGAAAACCATAAATAGTTAATGCCACACTTACATAACAGAGTATGAGCCTGAAACATATTTGGGGATTTGTAAACCCACCACATATTTCCAACAGCCACTTGCTGGAACAGGCAGCACCACCCAAAGTCCCCTGGGAATGAACATTTAGGGAAACTCCTGGCTCACAGTCCCCAGGCTGGGTTAAAGGCTCACATGGAATCACATGCCTCGTGAAAACAAGAAAAGTTTTCCTTCCAGGAAAGTCTGTACCAATATAAACTCTACCCTGGATTTTTTGGAAGTGCAGTGCCAGTCAGACAGCACAAACTAAATAAAATGGTAAGAAAAACTGAATAAAGTGATAGGCCACTATTAAAGTAGAGTAATGCTGTATTTCAAAGTCATTTTCCAACTATCAGTGAAAAGTAAGGATAGCAAAACAATGACAGAGGGATTAGGCACTTGGGGATGCTGTGGCCTGTAAATGAAAGTTGTGAACAAATCAGAAACAGGAGTAATTATCAAAGGAGGGCAATCAAAGTGGTAGGATTTTGTACCATATCTGTCATGGACCAGGAACAGAAACCATGGAGTTGGACACTCAGGGGAGTGAGGACGTGAGGAAACTCCACTGAGGAGCTGATCCTGATTTCCCACTCTGGAAATCTTGATGGATCAGAGAGCAGGAAAGCCAAACACTTCTGTACCTTTCATTTCAACTGAGCATCACTGGAGAGGCATGTTGGACAAGGGATGGAGGGACAGGACACAGGGAATGGCTCCCACTGCCAGAAGGCAGGGATAGATGGGATATAGGGAAGGAATTCCTCCCTGAGAGGGTGGGGAGGCCCTGGCCCAGGTTGCCCAGAGAAGCTGTGGCTCCCCCTGGATCCCTGGAAGTGTCCAAGGCCAGGTTGGAGCAACCTGGGCTGGTGGAAGGTGTCCCTGCCCTTGGCAAGGGGTGGCACTGGATGGGCTTTGAGGTCCCTCCCAAGCCCCCCCTCTGTGACTCTGTGATGCTCATTTACACAGCACTGAAGAAAACCAAATGCAGCAAAACAAAGTTCCAAAGAGGAGCCCTCCTGCTGCCTCTGAAACCAAAGTAATTAGTGGTGCCCATGAAAATCCAGCAGGATCAGTGCAATTCCTTGACTTGCAGCTTTGCTCCCCAGTGCTCCAATCAGTTTTGCATTTTAGATCTTCTGCAGAGCTTGGTTGTGCTCATCTCACTGCTTTACCCAGCGAGCTCCCAAACCAGACTGCAGTTAAATTATCTTTCTTTAATCAGACTTTAATCTCTGAGGATGTTGGCTGGGTGGGCTGACCCCAGACAGAGACTAAGAACTCAGTCACTCACTGAATGCCCTCTTCCCAGTAGGACAGGGAAAAGAAAAGAAAAGAAAACAGCAGAAAACATCAGAAGGCATATGAAAAGTGGGACATAAAATGAGAAATATCTGTTCAATGTTTTTCATTATCATGCCCATACATCTCCCAGGAAACTCTGTACGTATTTCAGGTCACCAGTTAAGATTTAATTGAATGGAACTGGGAGTGAAAACTCCTTCTTTACCAGTGATAAATCCAGCTGTGGGTTTCAGACTGTGGAACTGCTGGTCATGCTTGGCTCTCTCCTCCACAGTGATAGCCCAGATATCCAGGTTGCCTGGTGCAAAAGAGAGGGAGAAATGACAGTAAGAATCACCAGCTAAAAAACACCCTCGTTTTATTTCAGTGTAATTATCACTCTGGAGCTCTGAGAACAGCCCAGGGTGGGGGATCCTTTGCCTCCCAGAGCGCACACGGGGCGAGAACAGGAAAAAGAACAAACTGGAATCAGGGACACCTCCCACCAGCCCAGGGTGCTCCAACCTGGCCTGGGACACTTCCAGGGATCCAGGGGCAGCCACAGCTTCTCTGCCCAACCTGGGCCAGGGCCTCACCTCCCTCCCAGCCAGGAATTCCTTCCCAATATCCCATCCAACCCTGCCCAGAGAAAAGCCCCAAAGAGATGCAACCTTGAAGCAGAACCAGACCAGTTACACTGAGATTTACCTTCATAAGCTTTCTGCAGATCAGCCGCAAAACTGAACCAAAAATGTGTCCCCAGTATCCAAGGGGGCCCACAAGGAAGCCAGAGCAGGACTCTGGATCAGGAACTGCAGTGACAGGACAAGGAGTGATGGATCCAAAGTGGAATTTAGGTGAGATATTAGGAATTCTTGGCTGTGAGGGTGGGGAGGCCCCGGCCCAGGTTGCCCAGAGAAGCTGTAGCTGCCCCTGGATCCCTGGAAGTGTCCAAGGCCAGGCTGGACAGGGCTTGGAGCAACCTGGGCTGGTAGAAGTTGTCCCTGGGGGGTGGGACTGGGTGGCTTTAAGGTCCCTCCCAACCCAAACTACTCTGTAATTCTTTGGTTTCATGTGAATAGCAAAAATAATGTCCCTATTGCACTGCCAGGCCCATCCTGGATTTTTCACTGTAATTCCAGATGCTACAACTTCCCTGTTAAAAATGGAAAGCTACAGATGTGTCACTTTTGTTCTCATCTAAGCCTGGGTTATGGGACAGCAAGGACAGAAATGGGAAGGGATCACATCCAAAGGCATCTGCTGGGCTTTTCAGCAGTTAAAAAATCCTCACCCAAAGGAAAACTACACACAGTTTTCAGGCACAACTGGAGCAGAAGGAGGTGCTGCCCTATTTCCAGGGGCTGAGTGGCCTGGCTGGGCCCTGCAGGGACAGACTGATCGATGCAGGGCACAGGGATCCTGCTCTGGGTGTGCTGGGATGTGCCTGAAACCAGCACAGACCACGGGAACCACCAGCTCAGAGAGACAAACTCCCCACAAACACCCCCAGAGAGAAAACACTCACACAGGGACACATTTGTGCTGAGTTTCTGCACATGGGAATAATTCAAATAGTAGAAACCACTTACCCCCAAAAGGTGTTGGAAACTGAGCCATGGTTCTGTCACTTTTAGCTTGTTAATAGATGCCTGGAAAAGAAAAAAAAACACAAACATATTCAGTTACAGCATCTTCCATTTTCCATATATTTTGGTACGATTAATTGCCAAGCAAAAAAAAAAAGGCAGTGAAGAAGCAGGATTGTGTCACTGCTGCCCACAGAAACTGTGCCTGGCAGAGCTCAGTGTCTCACTCTTGCACTACCCTGTGCATCCAGGAGGGTATTTCCCTGCATTTCAGTTCTGCTTCAAGAATGTCCTCAAAATCAATCTTCAGAATTTAATTAATTAATTTACTCAATGATTTAATCATCAGTGATGGGGTGAAGGGCAGAGCTCAGTGAGATCCCAGTGACTCTGCTCAGGGCTCCGTGACTTCCCTGATGTTCCAAGCCCTGCTCCTGCTCCAGAGGAGAACTGGCTCCATTTCCAGCTGTTAAACACAACCTCTCCAGTGATCTGCTTTTCATTCCTGCCAGCAAAGGCCCTGCCCTGCTCAGGCTTTGAAACAAAGCACATTCTGCAAACGAAGCTCCATTTGCAGCCTGCTCTGCCCCTGAACTCGGGGAGCCCCGGGAGCCAGAGGTGCCAGGGCAGAGCAACCCCTGGGTGGGAGCTGCTCTGGCTCTGCACACAAAGCAACCTCCACAGCTCCAAATTTAATCTGCACGGGGAGAAGGCAAAACATTTTTCTTGCAGCACACAAAGGCTGACAGGAGCTGCCTGAGCCAGGGGACAATGCCCAGCACCGGGGCCGCTCCACAATGAGGGGCAGCCTCTTGTCCTCCCAGATTCCACTCGTGTTTTCCAGGCAACAGCAGAAAGGCAAAAGGGAACAGGATCAGGAGGAGAATAATTGGGGCTGCTCGAGCAGCAGCACAAATTTATCAATATCACCCAGAAAGGCCATTCACTTGCACCAACAACTTCCTTTTGTCTGAATTCCTGTTTGCTCTCCTCCCCAGCCCCCTCTCACACTTCCCACGTTCTCTTCTGGCTGCCAACTTGGGAACCTCTCCTGGATCCCCTCCCTGTGGCCCTGCAGAAACCTCTGGCCCTCCTGCCAGCCAGGCTCCAGCAGCTGGGATGGGGAGAAGGATGGGCTCAGGATTGACTGTTCTCCCTCCTCATTTGGCCAAACACAAACTCCCAACCTCCAAACCTCCTCCCGTGGCTGGGTAACGCAGCTGAGGCTGCTCCAGGCCCAGCAAACCTTCCCTCCAAGGGTTCAAATCCCAGGCACAGGGATCCAGAGTGTTCAGAACCAGCTCCCTGAGCTGGGGGGTTCTTCCAGGAGCTTTTCTGAGGTGCTCGAGGATGAGCACTTTTAGCTTTACCCGTGGTTTTTTATTGCACTCAGCTGAGGGCAAGAACTGCCCCACTGCTGCTGGGGTTTGTGACTGCAGGGAAAGCCTGGTGGGAAAAAGGGAGGGAAAATGAGGAGGAAAAAAGAAGGAGAAAAAATGGAGGAGGAAGAAAGAAAGAGGAGGAAAAAAAGAAGGAAAAAAGAGGAGGAAAAAAGAAGAAGGAAAAAAGAGGAGGAAAAAGGGGGAGGAAAAAGGAGGAAGAAAAAAGAGGAGGAAAAAGGAGAAAAAAAAGAGGAGGATAAAAGGAGAGGGAGAAGGGGGAAAAGGAGGAAGAAAAAGAAGTAAGGAAAAAAAAGAAAAATAAGAAAAAAAGAAGGAAAGCCAAAAGCAGAACCCTCTGCCCTCTCCCCCTCTCCCAGCTCAGTCAGTTCCCATATAATATTTTCCTGTTCAGGGAAGACACTCCTCCCCAGACTGCCAGCATCCCAAAGGAATGGGCAGTGCATTCCCTTTACCTTGAACACAGGAGAAGGAGGAGAGGGGATGGGAGGTCTGAAGCCCAGCCCTGTGCTGGATGCCAAGGAAAGCAGAAACTATTCCAAAGAGCTTCCAGAGGGGGGGAAAAAAAAGCAGAAAGAGAGAAAAAGCCAAACCCAGATGAAATGAAATGGAGAGAAGGAGCAGAAAAGTGTATTTAAAGCTGAGAGACTGAAACTAAAATGGACTGTGGGCAGAGACACCACGGGAAGGAAATGGAGAGAGACATAAATCCCTCTGATGGAGTTTTACTGCCCACGGAAAACCCAACTTCCACAACCACAGGCTGCATTCCACGTGACTGAGGGGACACCAGCAGCCCTGATTCTGCAGGAATAACTCTGCAGCTGTGGACAACTGATTCCAACAGCTTGGGGGGTGTTACACAGGAAAATGAGGGTGAACAGGGAACAGGAGTCTCACAGCACTCCAGAACTGGCTTGGCAGAGGGTTTTTGAGAACCTGCCCAATCCCTACCAGTTCCAGAGCAGCACTAACTCCACTTCTCTGCCTTCCCTGCTCCTCCCAGTACCCCAAAGGAAGTGGGATAAACCAAAAATGAGGGAGAATCCACTGCCCAGAGAACTAAGAGAAATCCAGGGTGGGTAAGCTGAGCTCTGGGCCCTCCCCTCCCTTCAGGAAAGCAGGGATTCCTCCCTAATTACTGACATTGGTATCTGTAGGAACTCGGACATCCCGGGAACGTGTTGGACTCTGACAAACTCAACTGACACTGCCCGAGGAGTTCAGGAATTCAGAAACTGCTCCAACAGGAAGGAGGGGAGACAAGAAGGGGAACCACAACTGCCCCGTGGGTCCCCTGCACGCCCCGTTTCCTTGGGAAGCCAGCCCAGAACTCCTGCCATCAGCAAAACTGGGCCGGGGATGAACTGGGAACAGTCCATCCAAAGGGTTCCTTCCCACAGGAGCTGGAAGATGCAACAGCTCCTTCCTCCTGCTTTTAGGAAGTACAAGGAGGAGCACTGAGCTCACCTTTGCTGTCACAGAGGAGTTTAAGCTGCTCCCACCCTGGGATTTGACAAACAGATCCAACATTAAACACGTCCTTCCAACACAAATCCCTTCATCCCTAAACAAGAGATCCACATCTCATCTGCACACCACAAACCCCTGGACACTGGGGTCAGTCTGCACTTCCCAACTCTCCAGGAAAGGAACGGCCCAGCTTTCCCATTCCCAGTGTGGTACCAACACCAGCCACCACACAGGGCCTCTCCCCACCAAGGTGACAGGATCCCTGAGGCTGGAAAAGCCCTCCCAGCCCATGGATCCCCCCCTGTGCCCCAT